CGCCGGAGCCGCTGGGGGCGGCGGGCCGGGAGGTGGCAGCCACTGCCCGCCACCTCGCGTGGGCTCCCGGTGCCAGGATCGCCGGGGTGGCCTCGCCTCGCAGCCTGCGGCTTGAGCGGCGGCGTGAAGCGATCGGGAGCGGGGGCTTTCATAAATGGGGGTCTTCCCGGAAAAGTATTGCAAGTTTAACCAGAACCCCGGGAAGGGCGATTGTTCCGCGCACGGCTGTGTAGCTTAATGTGAGGGTTGTGCCACTGCACGGCTCTGGTTGCTCATGCCAGCGAATGGAGGTTGGAGGCAGGGTGTCTGCTGCTTTTCTTGGATGCAGATTTGCATTTCTTCAAACATTAAACAGATGTATGCATTCCCTGGCGCTTCTACAGACATCGTGACCTGCCCTTCGGAAAATAAATACCATCTGAGGTGACGGTGCTTTTCTCAACCACATCTGCTCAACTGTTGGGGTGACTGGTGTGTGGCTGTCACTCCCTTCCCAGTATAAGCAGAATACTACAGACGTGCAGCACCCCTCCCGTATATTTTACGTTTTCTAAGGGTGCTTTTCCATCAAAGTCACCCAAGATTATTGTTGCTTTTTGTAGATAGAAGGAAGGATTTTTTTTTTTTTTTCTGGGTAGGTTTGGATCCAGAAAGAGGACATTATGTGAAAGACGTTAGGAATTACTTGACAGTCATCTTTGCAGTCTGGACGCTCTGATAGCATTTTAAAATTCAATTCCGTGGCCAGAGTTTCTTCTGCTATTTACTTGCCCTTTTTTTTTTTGGTTTTTCTCCGGTACGGGGAACCGAACTCACGACCTTGCGCTTGCCAGGCAGGCGCTTTGCCGCTGAGTTAAATCCCCAGCCCCTGGCCCTTTATTTTTTTTAAAGACAGGGTCTCATTGTGCAGTTCAGACTGGCTTTGAAGTCACTTTGTAACCCAGGCTGGTCTGGAACTCGAAGCACTCCTCCTGCCTCAGTTTCCTGAGAGCTGGGATTACAGGCGAGCTGGGATTACAGGCGCGCTGGGATTACAGGCGCGCTGGGATTACGGGCATGCTGGGGTTACGGACGTGCTGGGATTACAGGCGTTCACCACCGCCACCTTTTTACTGAATTCATGCTCCATGCAAATCACTATTTCCTCTCCCTTTAAAATTACTCCTGGAAAGATGTGTTTGTGCTTTGACACCCCCCCCCCATTTAATTGTTTTCAGTTCCAGAAAAGGAAAGGAGCAAACAGGCATGAAGGTTGTAACAGTATAATTGATACTAATTTATTCAGCTATTTGCTCCCCACTGTGAGACCTAAGAGTTATTTTGATGCAATTTTAGTCCAAAATGTTGATGCTTCAAAACTACAAATAAGACTTTGGTGGTGTTTTATTGTTTATTCTCTGAAGAGCATGTACCTTTCCAATAAAGTCTAGGACACTTAAAAGCATTATAGTCAGATAGAAAAAAAATTCCTTCCTTTGAGCTTTCAGATGGCTAGGTCTCACTCTAAAACTTTAGGGAACCCATCACGAGAAAAATTAAGTAGTGTCTTTGTATCTTGGGTGTTAGGTCCAATCAGATATATAATTTTACATCTCTTTCCTGGTCTGTAATTTTGTCCCCTTCTGGTACACTCTGGTGGATGTTTATGGTGAGCATGACAAAAATCAGGGTTGTGTTGGGACAGAAGTTTCTCCCTTCCCGGTGGAGTTAACTTTCTTGTAAGTTCTCCAAAATCTTTAAATTGAGCAAACATTTATTGGGTGTCTGTTTTTTACACTCTGTTCACTAAGACTTGCAGAGAAAATTATATGTGCCCTCTTTAATTTTACTAGAAAGCAAACCCACGGCCTACAGGTCCTTACCACTAACAGATGTTTGTCTTCTAGGTTGACGTTGGGCCAAGCCTGGACACCGCTTTAGACAGCTGTTCTTGAGCACCACCGACAGCACGGTTCTTCGCATTTCATGACAGTGAGTGGATTTCCCGTTTTGGCCGTAATTCAATACAAAGGCTGGGAGCGTGGTTATAAATGATAATTGGAGATCGCTGTTCAGTGATCGCTTTTCAAGAGCAGACACAAGGAGCCTCTGCCAGCCTCGTTTTCACGCTTTGCCTATGGTCCAGGGTGCCCTGTGCTACAGGCCGGGTGGGGTGTGGACTGGAAGTGGGGCCAGCAGCTAAGGCAGAACCCCGAGGCTGGCGTGAGTTGCTGTAGGATGGGGGCCCAGTAGGTAGCATAGTGGCTTCTCAGAATATCCAGGCTCTGCTCCTGGATCTGTGACCTCGGGCAGTCCCAATTTCTTTGAGTCATAGTTGCTTCACTCCCGAAATGAAAGAGCGCCATTTGTCAGACCTGAAGTGAAAGGCTCATCCTAGCAGTAAAATTTTTATTAGCCCTGAAGATAGAGTTGGAAACAAGTTTCGCTGGGTGAAGTGGGGGACCCGCTGTGAAAATGAAGCTTGCGCCTGACCAGGAATAGACCTGAGATCTATAGAACCAGTTTTGTGAATATATTTGCCTTAAAACAGTATGCTAAGAGCCGGGCCTGGTGGCACACGCCTGAAATCCCGGCCCTCACACTCAGGAGGCTGAGGCAGGAAGACTGTAGTGAGTTCCAGGCCAGCCTGGGGTACACAGTTCAAGGCCAGCCTGAACAACAGAGGGAGACCCTGTTGCAAGAACAAAACAGTAAGTTAAGGTAGGTGGGGTCGTAGTCCACTGGAAGGAGGAAAGGAAGGGCACATCTGGGAAGTGTTTTTAAAGAGGCGAGGATCAGCTGGCCTGAAGCAGATGACAGGGCCTATGATGCCTCTGGTATGTTCAGCCTGGAAGAGCGGAGGTTGCGCTGTTTTGCACAAACGGTGAGAAGATGCCCCTTGTCCCTGCGGGGGCCCGGGAGGGAGTTTCATTTCCTGGCACTGAAGCTCGCTGTGATAGGAGAGCAAAGGGGTCCTGCGCCGTGGGTTGCTTCCGTGCCAGGCAGAACGGCAGTTGTAGGCCAGTTGGTTATGAGCACCGAGGTGGTGTTGAATGAGCTCATTAAGAAAGCGAGGGAAGGGAGAGCAGTCCCATCGGGGTGAGGCTAGCAGGGCTGCGGAGGAGAGGATGAACGCACAGGGTTACGCCTGAGGTGTCAGGGGACAGAGTCCCCAGCTCAGTGCGGGCTCTGTGGTGGCCAGTGCAGCCCGTGGCAGTCAGGCAGGAAGAAGGCAGGGTGGGTTTGAAGAGTGATGTGCATACTCACGGTGTTGGGGTAGAGCGCGTCTCAGGGAGTTGAATGGAGAGTAAAGGGGTGCCTAAGGGCTGGCTGGGCACGCTGGTAATCCCAGCACTTGGGAGGCTGAGGCAGGAGGATTGTCGTGGATTGAGGCCAGCCTGGGCTGCATGAGTTAAAAGGCGAGAATGCGAGGCCGGGTGGAATTAGGGCTTCCCTGTGTGCACCAGATCCCGATGAGGAGTCCGTGCGTGTGCGTTCCTTCCCGTCTCAGAGAGAAGGGCGGCGGCGGAGTGCGGGTGGGAGGTGTTACGTGGGGTGTTCTCCAGCCTGGACAGAAGGACTGCGGAAGGGACCGTGCGACACCAGGTGTCTTGCTAAGTGCTTTAGGTGCAGTAACTCCCCCAAGCAGCCCCTGTAAGAGGTGAGGCTGCAGCGCGGGATCGTCAGAGCAACTCGCGCCAGCCGCCAGCCCAGGCAGGTTCCTAGGAGCAGCGCTTCCAAGTGATTGCCCGGAACTTGTCCTGGGCTGCGAGCGCTGGACGGCTTCAGCAGGTGGTCAGCAGGCTCGGCTCAGGGAGAGGCATGCAGGATTAGGCCTAGCGCTGCAGGAAAATGCTTGTGTCGGGGGCTGTAGACTTGTGTATTGAGTCTCTGAAAATACACCATACATAGTCAGTCCCACCCAGGGCAAATCATCAGCCGCTGTGCCTGGGTTCTCCGCGGCCTGGGTTCTCCGCGGCCGCCCGGTTGATACGCATTTCCCGAGACACTGCTCTGTAAGTGCAAGCGCAGGAAAGCGCTGTGCTTGTGCGTTAGTTACTAGCATAGTTCAGCGTCGCTGCCTCAGAAAGCGGGGCTGTTAGCCAGCTTCTTACATGTTTAGAGACCAGCGCAAGCAGTTCCACTAAGTAGTTAGTGCAGTCATTGAAATGACTTTGATGAGACTGGACCTCGCGCTGGCCACGCACACTCCCAGGGACGTGAGCGGCCACTGTTAGCCCGCGCTCTTCTGTGCTGCCTGGACAGCGTCCTGCGCTGGAGCTTGTCCTCACAACGGGCCAGGTCTGGGCCGCCCTGGTCCTTCCTCTGGCTCCACCCAGCCGACCCCCAAGTCCCGCTGGTGTCGCCTGCTACCAGGCTCCCCCGTCGCTTCGCTGCCGTGACCTTCAGGGCTTCGGCCTGGGCTCAGGCCCCAGCTGGCCGCAGTGTTGTTCTGCTCCTTTCCCACCGCGCAGCACGGGTGTTCTGCATTTCACCGCGTCACGGTTCACCCCAGGTGCCGCCGCCACGCGCGCCTTTATGTCCCGACACCCAGGTGTCGCTCGAGGGGGCGTCATTCCAACCAGTGATTCTTGTTTGCACAAGAGGCACTCATACATCTATTTGTTTTATATTGACTAATTTTGCTTATTTCTTTATTTAGAACATTGTATGCGCCTTTGAAGTGTTTTTGGTTTTGGTTTGTTTTTTGTTTTTTTCCAGTACCAGGAATTGAACTCATGACCTTGGGCTTGCCAGGCAGGCGCTGTGCCGCTGAGCTAAATCCCCAGGCCCGCGCCTTTGAAGTTTATTTCTAGTGAAATCTAGTAATAGGTTCTGGTTATTTTCTTTCACTAATTTGTGTTTGTGTTATTTGTGAAAAATAACCTATAATTTTGTACTACATCTGTAAAAACTTATCATAAGTCCATTACTTCTGATGTATGCACTTCTCTGGAGCTCAGTGACACTCTTTCACAGTACAAGACAGACACATTCGGGACACTGACACTGACACTGAACAGGAAGTGCCAGAGATCTGCGAAAGAGAAAACTGAAAGCGGGAGAAAGGTTCGTGTATCAGGGAGGGAGAGTCTTAGATGGAAAAACAAAAAAGACGTCTCCCCACTGGCACCTGTTCATAATACAGAAGTGACAGAACTTGAAACCAAAGAACTTCAGTCATGGTTGGTGATTTTAAGAATTCTGTGGGTGGTGTTGGCAGAGTAGACCAACTTCTGACGGGCCATCCTGTCATCAGAAAGCAAGGAAAACAGTATAAAATATTTATGCACCTTCTGGACAAAACTACGGAACTCGTTTATCCAAAACAAGGGGGTTCAGAAAGTCATTTACAATTTAAATTTGTCTACTAAACTAAATACTTGAAAAATATGGGGCAGTGACTGGGGATTTAGCTCAGCGGCACAGTGCTTTGTGAGTTCAATTTCCGGTACCAGAAAAAAGCCAAAAAAGAAAAAGAAAAAAAAAATACAGGGTAGCAAAACACCAACGAGGACGTCCGTCATCGCCACCTTGACCTTTGCCCTTACTAGGCAGACACTTCCGTGGGATCTCACCACCCACAGGAGACTAGGCAAGGCCAGCACCACTGCGCACAGGGTGCTGTGCAAGGAAAGACAATAATGCAGCAGTAATTCGGAAGGAGACTGGATACGACTGTCCAGACTGTAGCGTTGCCTTGTGTATTGAGTCTCTGAAAATACACCATACACAGAAAAATTATTGAATAAATTTGATAAAATAGGTTTTTTTATAATTCCAGTTATATATTCTTATAAAAATAAGAAAAAAATGCAGTGTTTTTGGTCATCCTGTATTTAAAAAGAGCCAGGTGTGGTGGCACACAACTGTAATCCCAGCACTCGGGAAGCTGAGGCAGGAGGGTTGCAGTGAGTTTGAGGCCAGGCTATGCTACATAGTGAGTTCAAGGCCAGCCTGAGCTAGCCTAGACTCTGTCTCAAAAAAAACAAGTGGAAGAGATCTGATACGTATTCTTCTGCTTAAAGTTCACTGGTGTGCTCTTGTCCACATGCAGCTGAGCTTGCCTCGGTCCCGGCACGGCCTGTTTTTTCCTTGTCTGGAGCATTGTTCTCCACCTTTTTTTGCCTGACTGGTTTATATTCCTCTTGAATCTCAGTTTCAGTACTTCCTGAGGCAGCCTTTTTGACCCCCTCAGACTGGTGAGGCCCCAGGGATAAGCTCACCAAGCACGTAGCAAGACACCTTTACTTTTTGTTAGCTCTCGGTCCTAGGAGGTAGTTAAGTGTCTGTAATATTTAATAGCTGTGTGTGACATTTGTTGCAGCCCATAGTATTTCTGTGGATCTGGGAGTGGGTGAGGCGGAGTCCTGTTCTCATCAGCTCCTGGCTCACCCAACGTCCCTGGGAGGATGGAGAGCAGGAGACACAGCTGAGCAAAGGGATTCCAGAGCCCTGTCCTGGGAGTGCCGGAGCCCGCGCTCCACCCCCAGCCCTGCCTGCTTGCGCAACCTTTAACTCACAGGATGAGGACAGAGGCCTGGCTGGCAGTGTGGACTGTACAGGACTGCACCTAGCAGGGCCGAAGTACTGTGTGCACATGCAGTGGGACTTGTGGGTGGCCTGCGCTCTGTTCCATAACAATTTCAAGGCGGTTTTAGATGTAGGAAAAAACCTTTGGAATGCATCTCACAACTTTCCCCACCATTCCTTATGCATAGGCAGGATTCCAGCAGGAGAGGGAGCACTGGTGTTAAAGACCAAGCCAACCAGGGCGGCATTTTGATGGTAGAAAGAAAGGAGAAGAACAAAAGGTGTAAAATGACAAAGAAGCTAAGACTTGCAGAAGGAAAACATGCAATAAGCGGAAGATGTGTTGACTTCTCTTCACAGATGGGAGGGAGCCAGTGTGTGTAACATACTACCTGCCACACACGGTTCTGAGCAGTTTTCTGTCTACAAGGAAATGCTTTTGTTTAGAGAGGTGACTGCTCTTAATCCAAATTATAATCTTACTGCTTTTTAAAATATGATTAATTTTTTTTGCCTTTGGTATCTGTTGAAATTCTCATCGATAACTTTGAGACTGCTGGCTGTGGATACTGATTTAACAAAGAATTTGTTACTGGTCCCGGCTTGCCAAAACACAGATTTGTTTCTGGTTGCTGGTTCCGAAACAACCTGTCAGTCCTGGGGCTGGGGATTTAGCTCAGCGACAATGCACCTGCCTGGCAAGCGCAAGGTCGTAAGTTCAATTCCTGGTACTGGAAGAAAAGCAAAAAAAAAAAAAAAAAAAAGAGAGAGAACAACCTATCAGTCCTGTCTCCTGCACCTTATCTTCTTTGGGTCTTTGTAAAACCAGGCACCTGCCAGATACCCTGACGGACCATCCTTTCTTGGCTCATAAATCCATTATCACATCCCTGCAAAGCTACTCTCCCAATGTTGCTTTATTTTGGGCTCAAAAGCGCACTTTGTATTTGGGTCATGCCTCACACTCGTCTATGTCAGCGTAAGATGGGGATGGCAGGACTGTGTGTGCATTCTGGTTTTCTGTTTGTTTGTTTTGTTTTTCTTCTAGTACCAGGAATCGAACTCACAACCTTGCACTTGCCAGGCAGGCGCTATGCTCTGAGCTAAATCCCCAGCCCCTGTATGTGCATTCTGTATAGAAATACATGTAGCTGCTGGGGGTGTTTAGGTTTAGGGGTCGGTAAGTGTCTTAGTTACTTTCTCAGTGCTAGGACAAAATACCCAACCACCCACAAGTTAAAAGAGGAAAGGTTTATTTTGGCTCACAGTTTGTAGAGGTCTCAAAGGCAGGGTGGCATCGGAGAGGAGAAACAGTCCATGGCAGGGGAGGCAGACGGCAGTGAGCAGCAAGCAGTAGCGGCTTTCCTTCTCCTTTTTCTATATATTCCATCCAGGCTACAAGCCTGACGGTTGATGCCACCCACACCCAGAGTGAAGCTTCCCATTACCCACAGCCAGAACTGTGCTAACCAGTCAGCAGACTCCTACAGTTACCTCACGCCCATCGTCTGTGTTCGCTGTCCCTAACCCTGGCTGACTCTGAGAAGCCCCACCTGTGAGTGTGTGAGGTTTTGTGGGACATCGAGACTCAAGCCGTAACAACAGGAGAGTCAGTGTAAGCTCGCTGAGTTTGTGTAGTTATATTTTACTAAAAAGTCAGTGAATAAATATGCACCTGTGCTCTCATAGACTATTGAAGGCCTGTGGGTTCAATTTTATCCCCGCTTAAACAGCTGTATAAATTATGGACATAAATCTGTAGCTACAAATTAAAACATCAAAGTCAACAGAAGAAATGCTGTGTTATTAAAGACTTGGAAACTAGCCCAGCACTTCAGTATTAGGTAGAAATCCAACAGAAATGGAGAATTATGTAAGTATTATATAATGGAGTATTATATAAGGACTAAAATGTTGCAGTTAATAGCATTAAGTTTGTGTTAACCCCTGGGCCTTAACAAATATTTAGGATCAACTACAGTATCTCTTTCTTTCTTTGACCCAAGACATGTATATTCCACTTAATTTTTGCTACACTTTGCACTCAGATGACATAATGTTTATTTTCACCCTCATCCGAGGGGTCCCTCCCCATTGTGAGAGTGGGGTCTGCAGAGCAGAAAGCCCTCCAGGGGCTCCTGTCAGTGATGTGGGACCTGGCGTTGAAGTTCCGTTTTTTCCAGATTTTACCTCTTGGAATTCTTCTGTGCTAAGCAAAATTAATTAAGTAGGCTTTCCTTTACTAGTCACTTTCACTCTCCCTTGTCAGTGGTTTAATGTGTAGATGTCATCTCCCTGGCATTGCCTTTTGTTTTTTTTTGTGAGGGACAGGGAGAAGGAATTCACCTGTGACTCGAACTGGGGTTGGGGGCTCCTCAGCGTGCGGGCTTTCGGGTGCATAGCTGTGCTCTCCCCAAGCAGCGCCGGAAGCCGAGATGCTGTGTGCGCTCTGGAGCTCGGGTGAAGCGGCCAAGCGCTGTGCCGCGGGAGCAGAGGGCGCACAGCTGCGCCCGACTCCAGCAGCAGAGTGGAGGCGAGGCCGCCGGACCCCTGGGGTCACTGCGCAGCGGGTCGTGGCTTTGTGCAGCATTGCAGGGAGACGTCAGTGCGCATCAAGGCCGGGTGTACGCTGCGGGTCACGCAGCTGAGGAGCGGGGCGCGTGCTTTAGTCGTTTCCTTGTCGTGTTTCCCCACTGGCTTTGCGCTCACCACCTGTGGAAGATGGACGGGAGGCTCCAGGCGTTGGTAGTGATGGAAAAGTTTCCAAAGCAAGCAATACGCAGCGTCCCTTTCATTAGGCTTAAGGCTACAGAACTACGTTGAGCCTTCCCGGGAGTGTGCAGGCCCGGGCGTGGTCTTCTGTCCAGGCCCTCCCCAGGAGCACTCACAGGCTTTCTTTCCCCCTAGATGGATGGCGACAGTTCTACCACAGATGCGTCGCAGCTAGGGATTTCTGCGGACTACATCGGAGGGAGTCACTACGTGATCCAGCCTCACGACGGTAAGAGCCAGGGCCGCAGCCCTGGGAAGACTGCGCCCAAGCCCTCCTTTACGGAACTCACGTAGTTTCTTCCAAAACTGGTTGCTGACTTCCTGTTTAAGTTTTAAGGGTGACAAATTCTTACTGCATGAACTCAGCGAATGCAATATTGCTTTGAGGGGTGAATTCAGTTGCTGCCATGGCTAGTACTTAGGTACAGACTTACGTTGCAGTGTTATATTGGCCCGTATTATGTTTACTTTTGTGGCATTTTGACTTGTGGAATTAAGAATTAAAATATATTTTCGAAGGTGTGGTAAAGAGATTAGTGTTTCATCCTAAAACAGTTGTGGTAACATTATTTTAAACACACAAAAATACAAATTGAATGAGCTTAAGTGCTGTGCCGGTACAGAGTGGGAAGCTGAAGATCCTGTATTTGGTCCGTGCACAACCGAAAGGGTGTTGGCTCCATGACAGTGTCTGCTACGTCTAAATCTATACAATTTTAACATTTATTGTTGTAAAAAAAATTCACTCACTCCTGGGACTTTGTTTTTTTGTTGTTGTTGTTTTTGTTTTTCTGCCGGTACCAGGAATCAAACTCACGACCTTGCGCTTGCCAGGCAGGCGCTGTGCCGCTGAGCTAAACCCCCAGCCCCTACTACTGTGGCTTTGTTAAAAAACAATTCCATTAGTAACACAGCCGGGCCAGTAATGCGTAAGTGCAGCCTTCCCGTTCTGTGTGGGATTTCAGGCAAACTTCTCAGGAGTTCTACAGTTAGAGAGCGCGGAGCAGGCTTAGGAAACCTGGGCTGGGAGGCGCGCACAGCCTGGCTCCAGCAGGTCTCAGGGAGCGGGGCAGTGCCTGCCGAGGCGCAGCTGCTTCGGGGACGGCATGGTGCTGTCCAGGCCCTGGGAATCAGGAGCAGGAGCCTGCCAGGGAAACGAGAGGTGCAGAGAGTCCTGAGCCTGTCGGAGAACAGACGCGAGCGCACTGGCGGGGCTCTGGGAGAGGAGTGGGGATGCTGAGCTTTTTGAAGTGGGTGAGTTTGACATTAATGAACAGGCTCCGTGCTGGCCCTGAGAAAACCGTGGAAGGAAGTGCTGCCCGCTCCCAGAAGGGAGAGGAGCGAGCCGGAAGGTTTGCGTGCCCAGCCCTTCAGGCAATTTCAGTTTTCCGTCGCAGAGTACAAACTGTGGGAAACTTGAGAGCTGACAGGGTTTTGTTTCTTGTAGATACAGAAGACAGCATGAACGATCACGAAGACACGAACGGTTCAAAAGAAAGCTTCCGAGAACAAGACATTTACCTTCCCATTGCGAACGTGGCCAGGATAATGAAGAATGCCATACCTCAAACCGGGAAGGTAACACAGAGGAGAGATTTTAACCTGGAAATCACACAAATGCGTAGTTAAATCAGTAACTAGCTTTTGATCCAGTCGTCCAGCCTTTCAGCAAATCAAATATTTATTTCTCCACGCGCAGTTAGTGACCAGCACCCCTCCAGGTCCGTGTGTCCCTCGCCTGGAAGCAAGTGGAGTGGGACTCGAGCCCCCGCCTGCTCTGAGGCCAGCCCTTTTGGGAGCGGGCAGGCAGCGCTGTAGCTTCGGTAATGTCTCGTCAGCATTAGGTCACACTGGACTGCAACAGTTAGGTTTTTTAAAAAGCCTGGTATAGATTCCCGGTACCAAAAAAAAAAAGAAACAACCCAGTATAAGGAAACAAATATTTTTAAACAGTTACAGATGTTTATTCCTGTTTTTTGGTACTGGGAATCAAACTCATTGAGTAAATTTTTTTTTTTTTTGGTATCAGGAATCGAACTCAGGACCTTGCACTTGCCAGGCAGGCGCTGAGCCACTGAGTGGGAATTGAACTCATGACCTTGAACTTGCTAGTCAAGTGCTTGAGCCGCGGAGCTATTTCCCCAGCCCAGCAATTACAGATGTTAATATACAACTGGCATGATTTTTTTTAAAGTACTTGTTTTTGGTACCGGGAATCAAACTCACAACCTTGCGCTTGCCAGGCAGGCATTGTGCCACTGAACTATATCCCTGGCCCTTTTAAGAGTAGCTTTGTCTTCTTAGAACAACTTTTAAAAACTTAACCATTCTGCTTTTCACGTGGCCTGAATCACAATTCATACTTGATATAAATTGTTTTCTATTACATAGCAGCCGTTGTTGATTTATTACGGCGTATGAAAGTACTTAAAACAGTAATGAGCGCATGCGAGCGAAGATGCCGTTAAAATCCATCACTGAGCCTCGGTGGTGCAGCTGGGGGGGTCCCTCCTGTGTCCTAGGAGAAAAGGGGGCAGCTGGCGCCGCCGGGCCCAGCCCGGTGAGCAGCATGCGCTCGGTGCCCGGCGGTCAGCCTTCGGAGGCTTCTTGTGAAGAAGTGAATGAGTGTCTCATTTTAAAGTTGGTTCCGTGCCTAGTGGTAACAATTTGGGTGTATTTGGGTAAATGTTAAAATTAGTTTTACTTTTGTTTTCTTCAACATGGCTACTAAGAACCGTGAAGTTCCACTTTGGGCCTCTGTGACGCCGGTGGGCCTGGCCGGGCTCTGAGGCCCTGTTCAGTGTCCCATGCGGAGGACAGACGGGGGTCAGGGACGTGACGGTAGCAGGCACTGAGTGTCGTCGCTGTTCGGCGGCTGTAGGTGTGGGCCAAGCCCTGGGTTTCCACTTGGAGCCCCCACAGCGAAGGCGAGTGGCCATCTCCTAGGTTACGGCAGCCTTCCGACGCTCAGGGTCCACGCCTGACGTGTGTGTCCGCCATGGTAAAAACGTCACTGTGTTACTCTCTTTCCTAATCTTACATAACTGGGGGTCTTAGTGGAAATGCTAAGGCAGGGAAGTGGTCCTCAGCCTGTAGTCCACAGTGCACTTTGTGTGGCTGTAATGGGATCGATTTTCCTGGGGAACTCAGTTTTCAGCCTATGTGGGGTGGTGGGAACATCTACCCCTTGTTTTTTGATATCTGAATTGTATCTGAGCTAGGTGTGGTGGCTCAGGCCTGTAATTCCAGTACTTGGGAGGCTGAGACAGGAGGATCCCTGTGAGTTAGTTCAAGGCTAGCCTGGGCTACAAAGTGAATTCAAGGCCAACCTGAACTGCGTAGTGAAACCCTGTCTCAGAAAGACCAAAAAAAAGTATTTGAGTTGTTATACTGACTAGAGGTTAAAATTGTTAAGTTTTGAGGCGGGCCTTATGTAGTCCAGGCTGGCCTTGAATTTGCTAGGTCACTCAGGATGGCTTTAAATTTGTGATCAGGATCCTCCTGCCTCAGGCTCCGAGTGCTGGGATTACAAGCATTACAGGTGTGCACCACTACAGCCAGCCAGTTTCTTTAAAAAACTTGTGTTTGTTTTATAGTGCTGGGGATCAAACCCAGGGACTCCCCCTTCCCAGGCAAGGTTTCTGGCACTAAGCTGTATCTGCAGCCCCTTGGGGTTTGGAATCTCACAGCACACATAGGTAGTGTTACTTAATAAATCTCTAGGAGATGAAAGGTCAACTCTCAGAAACCGGAAGCTGGCTTCTTCTGTGTAGCCTTTTGTTTTTTGCAGCTGTTAGGAACGTGGTGGTTGTATTTCCTGCAAATTTACCTGTGATTCCCCTGCCCTTCAGATTGCAAAGGATGCCAAAGAGTGTGTTCAGGAGTGTGTGAGTGAGTTCATCAGCTTCATCACGTCGGAGGCCAGCGAGCGGTGCCACCAGGAGAAGCGGAAGACGATCAACGGGGAGGACATCCTCTTCGCCATGTCCACCCTGGGCTTCGACAGCTACGTGGAGCCCCTGAAGCTGTACCTTCAGAAGTTCCGAGAGGTGGGCGCGCCTCGCTATAATGTAACTTAGGCTTATTACTTGTTACGTTCTATTTTGTAGCAGATTATGTAATGTTTGTCAGAAATATTTTGTCGCTTAAATTATAGCACTTAAATAGCAAGTCTCTCATTTTTTCTTTTCTGAGTACAGTGTGGTTATATACAGTGATCGGGGGACTTGGGGTGCAGAATTTCTGAGGCTGTGCCCCAGCTCCATTACCTGTGAATCCCTCGAGCCTAGGCAGATTTATTTAAACACCGTGGCCCTCCTCATCTGTACAGTGATTTGCAGCACCTTCATCGTGGAATTATTTTACTTTTATTTATTTATTTATTTTTTTGGTTTTTCTCCTGTACCGGGAACCGAACTCACGACCTTGCGCTTACCAGGCAGGCGCTTTGCCGCTGAGCTAAATCCCCAGCCTCTCATTGTAGAATTATTGAGAGCACTAACTAAACAATGGTCAGCATTACTTCTTGCTGTTTTTTTTTTTTTTTTTTTTTTGGAGCTATAGTCTCACTATGTAGTCTAGACTGGCCTTGAACTCAGGAATCCTCCTGTCTCAGCCTCCCAAGTGCTGCGATTACAAGGCTATGCCACCACCTTCAGCTTGCTGTTGTTTTTTTTTGGCTTTTCTCCGGTACCAGGAACCGAACTCACGACCTTGCGCTTGCCAGGCAGGTGCTTTTTGCCGCTGAGCTAAATCCCCAGCCCCTAGCTTGCTGTTGTTAAAAGAGGTAACATCACCAGGCATGGGGGCACGCCTACCAGCACTCGGTAGGCTGAGGCAAGAGGCTTACAGTGAGTTCGAGGCCAGCCTGGGCTACATAGTGAGACTCTGTCTCAAAAAAAGGGACGCATCAAGCTTGAGGCTTTTTAGATAATAAAAAGAGAGTTATATTTCTTCCTTATTGATCAAGTTCTTGTACACTTCCTATTCGGTTATCTTTACCTACGAGGGTAAGTTTGTAAAGTAAACTGAGTTCCTGGCTTATTTATTGCCACCCTGCAGCTCGGGCGTCAGGTTCCGAGGCGTTCAGATCTGTTAATACCTTAGGGTGAGCACCCCGTTACACTGGTGATACCTGCCTGGGAAGATGCACGTAAGAAGAGAACGTGTAAATTCTTCGTGATACTTTTTCAAATTCTTACTATTATGGAACCTTAGGGTAGATGGTGCTTTAGAGGTCTTTAGTTGAAGCGGTAACGTTCACTTGGGCATTTTGGTCTTGTTCCCCCAGTCCTTCCGGTTGGCTGAGGTGAGCAGCACAGTGGGGTCGTTCGTGGGCGTCCGAGTTCAGTGCTCACGGCATCGCAGACTTCTGTCTGGGGCGGCGCGGTCTTCTCCTTTGATGTAGTGGGGAAGGAGCTCACTGGGGCCAGAAACACTTGGGGCCTGCCAGGTCCTTCCCGTCTCTCGGCCGGGACGGCACGGACTGAGTCCCGGCCGCGGGCCGTGGTGTGCGCCCAGACCGACGCGTGTGTTCTGCTCCCCAGGCCATGAAGGGTGAGAAGGGCATCGGCGGCGCCGTGACGGCGGCGGACGGACTCGGCGAGGAGCTCACGGAGGAGGCCTTCAGTAAGCCGGCCGGCGGGCGCGTTGCCCGCGCGCGGGACGCCTCAGGGCGCCTCAGGGGGGTGTCGGGTGTCCCCGCCGAGGGGCCGCCCCGAGCGCCGGGCCCGGTGCTTCTCAAGATTTCGTTCCCTTCTGCCCGGTCCGAGGGGACGCGTGCTTTCCATCCCGTCCCTGAGGGTGCTGGCTGGTTTCTCAGCCTCTAGTTTTTGGTGCCGAGTCCCGAGAGATGGGAGTATTGAGAGTTGCGGTGAAGAGTGTAAGATCCTGTGATTCAGATAAATTTGAGCGCACGGATTCTGTTCTGAAAATCAAGAGCAGTGCTGTCATGTCGGCGAGGGGGCCCGCAGCGAGCGTGTCCGTCCTGTGCGGTTCGCGCAGTGTCCGTCCACGGCGACGTGCGGCAGGCCACGCACACACGTGGCTCCGCAGCCCGGCTGCGGCCCGGCTCGCCGCGTCCCCGCAGCGTGGACCTGGAGACCCAGCGATGCGCAGTGCAGGCAGGGCCCGCGCACGCCACTGCCTCGTCCTGGCGCAGAGAGAAAGGGCAACAGGAAAGGCGCAGCTGTTAGGGAACTTTTCTGAGTGGGAAGTCCACACTGTGATTTTATGTGAGATGGCGTACGATGAGTGGCAGAACTGTAAGGGACGTTGGAGGCGCGTGGAGGGCTCGGCCCAGGGGCACGTGCGACTGTCCTCCTCCAGCTTTCTTTGTTTACTTCCAGCTAACCAGTTACCAGCTGGCTTAATAACGGCGGACGGCCAGCAGCAGAACGTTATGGTTTACACAACGTCCTACCAACAGGTACGGCACCTCCTGTGTAAACTGTCTGAACATTGATTACATCCATTGTTTTTTTATCAGCTAATTTTAGTATACTGCGTATTGTCAGAGGCATGAGAAGAGCTATTAAAATTATTTTCTCAGAATATACATATGGTTATAGGCGGTGTTCCCTTGGTGATTAAGTAAATAGACGTGTTCATTTGCATGGACCGTTTCTAGGAAGAGTCACAAGAAGCGATGAAAGTGGCTCCTCTGGGCCGCAGCGGGTGGGGACTGGTGTGAGAAGAGGCTTGTCTCCACTGCCCCTGCCTGTGTGAATACGCTACTTCTGAGCTTTTGCTTAAACGCCACTCCGTCTCCGTTTCCTCAGATTTCTGGTGTTCAGCAGATCCAGTTCTCCTGATCGGGAGGGAGAAGAGCGAGCGTGCGGGACGCGGCCTGCGGCTCCGGCAGCCGTCGGAGCAGGGCGGCACCGATGTCTCTTTGTAAATTAAGTAGCTGTAATGTAGCTTCCTGATGCTTGACTAATTGAGGTGTTAATTCTGACTTGAAAATCTTTTTCACGAATGATTTTAAAGAAAAATTTGGATTTTAAAGGTATTAAAATATTTTTGTTTTGTACGAGAGTGTTGCTCTGTATGACGCCTGTATGCATTGTATATTGCAATTTATTACTGTCAGAGATTTGTAGACAGTTTCTTATTTTCATATTGAATCATGTTACTTTTGTAATTCAAGTAAGCAGCTGGGTTAATTCATGATGTTTACCCTTTTAATAAAAAAATAAGGGTAGAGTTCATTTTGAATGCAAGTTGCCTTTATTATAAATTCGACTTTGTCTTGGCGCTGTAATATCTTGCATGATAACCTTGCTAGATTTTTAGCATTTGCTGTATTTATTAAAGTTACTTTTTTGGGTAAAACATCATAGTTTAAGCAGCACCATTTTTTAAGAAATGTAATCGGCCGAGTGTGATGCGGAAGCGAACGCCGTCTGCCCTGCTCTGCCCCCGCCGCCCGGGCGTGGCGTCGCCGTCCTCGTCGCGGGTCCTGGAGCTTCCGGTAACGCTAGATTCGCTTTCAGTTACATCCCTGCCAGTGCTGGAGTTTGTTTCCGTTTCGCGTAGCCCTGGCGCTCCTGAGACGGGGCCCTGCACCTGGTGTTTCTTCAGAGCGCGGCGTCAGTATTACCGCGCCCTCTCCTGAAGAGGGGTTCAGTCTGCAGGGGAGCATCCTCGTTTTCCCTCTCGCCGGAGACACCAGGTTTCCTGGGACGCTGTCCTCGCGTGTACAGACCTTTCGCACAGACGTGTGAGCAGCGTGGAGACGCGTGCGTGCTGTGGGTGAGGTGGAGGCCGCCAGCTTCTAGTGTGCCGTCATGATCTTTGCAATAAACTCAACCTAGATAATGTCACTTTGTATAATTTAGCAGTGTGCTTGGGGTGTTCCTTTTTTAAAGTGAGAATTTGTATTTTCTCATCTGTTCTTTGGGGTGACAACCTGAGGAGTTTTTAAATTTAATATCGAAAACGGCTGTTGTGTCGTTTGCCTAGAGGGAAGCTTGAGTGGCTGTCACCTGTCCACACCGCCACTTCCAGATGTGGCCTGAACAGAAGCTGTCGCTTTGCTGCAGGAGCCCTGGGAGCACGGGCCCATCTGAGGCCGTGACTGCCCTCCCACCCCTGTGGAAAATCCGTAATGCAGGAAACTAGTAGGAAGAGCGCCAGTTAGGCAGAATCCACGGTCATCCTGCTATGTTGAAATAACCAATGTTAATATTTTGATAAATACCATTTGTCCTGTTACTTTGCAAAATATGTATATTTTTATAAGAATGGGCTCATTGTGCATACTGTTTTGTAACCTGCTTTTTCACTCAACAATATATTGTGAGCCTGCTTCCCAGGTCCTGCTCGTCTTCTGCATCTTTTTTGTTGGTTTATTATTCTGTTGTATGACTGAATCATAATTTATTTGTCTACTGGAGATTTTTGACTATTTATATCTTTTCACAGTTATAAACAACACTTCACTGACTCTTGTGTACATCCGTGACTCTTCTTGAAATAAACTCAGAATGAGAACTGCCGGGTCAGCACATAGGCAGGGTGTGGAGCCTTCCCTGCTGACGTGGGGGTGCGTTTCTGGAGCGCCTGCCGTTTGGTCCAGATAGCGGGTGTCGCCATGTCACTGAGAGAAGCGCTTGTCGCTCACCAAATTTACACTGTAAGAGAACTGTAAAGATTGGGCCAGGTTTGAGGAAAGAGGATGAAAAAGGAATTGGATAGTTTTAAAATGTAAATCAGTATGTGACAGAAGTTTTTAGACTTAGCGATTTACTAGGAGTACCATCTGTGACGTGCGCACACGGGAGGGGAAGTCGCCGGTCTCTGCCTGTCAGGCGCTGCGTGTGACCCCCTTCCTGTACCTGAGAGTGAGTGTTGGCGCCTGGCACATTCCTGTGCCCTGGAACTTGAATGTGTGTGCTCCTGTATTAACCTAAAAATGCTTCCGCTAACTTTGTAAATACTGATTTTCTGAGTGCCTAAGAGAAAAGGGCTTCAATGACGAGATACAGGTAGAGGGGGGACTCAGCACCTCATTAGAAATACAAAAAATATAAATGTCATATATAAATACAAATAAACATATACATATAAAAAATCCAAAGGATTTTTTAAATGCTTCCTCCCTAGCAGTCATACATCTCCTTTGGTGTCAAGCACTGAAATCGCCTTCTTTTCCTCCAGCATGGGGACCTCTGTCGGTCACCTGCTTTCCACCGTAGTGGGCCAAGGCAGCACCGTGATCTTTAATGCTTCTAGTGGAACGCAGCCATGAGGGCCTGACTAACCGGATTCCTTTAGCAGTAGCAATTAGGCTTGAAAAGTGAAAATAGTTCCTACCCTTTGCCAAGAATGCAATCTTACAGGGTTTAAATGTGCACTTTTTTAACGTCTTGGAGAAAGTGGCGAGCTATCAGTAAGACAGCATGCATCGCTTCATGTGATAAAATACTTCGAGGCGCTCAAAGAAGCGATAAGGTGGGTCTGTCCCAACCCCGAACTGGTTGCCTCACAGCTTGTCTTCACTCTCCCTGAGCCGCAGGACCTGGGTGGGACCGTGTGTAAGTTGGTTTACACGCGTGTCCTGGGAGCTCCGTCACGGTGTGCTCAGGAGAAAGACCAGGACGGCCCCAGGAACCATCTCACACCAGGGCAGTCCACTGGTGAAAAAATACTGTTTCAGTTTGTGGTTTCTTTTCCAGTCGGGAACCTCACCTTCGCTGCTTTGTCAGCTGCTCTCTCGCCCACTCTAGCCACTGCCCTGCTGTGCTGGAGCCAGCTCCCGTCCGCCTGCGTGGCCACAGACCCCTCCGCCCAGCGCCTCCTTCCTCCCGCCTCCTACTTCTCCTAGTGCTGCAGGCCTCAGCTTAAGGCCCCAGCGATGCCTTTTGGACATTTGTAAAAAATGTGTACCAATCACCGGATACAGAGAATAGTGCCACCCACTGGGTAAGGTGTGTGACAGCCCTTAGGGTAGCTGTTTGTATGCTGATCTTAGGGATTTGTGAAGCTGTAAGACAGGATCGTTTCCAGCGGCGCCAGGAGGGCCTCATTTCTCTGGCGGCTTGCCACTGCCTTTAAAAGATAAAAGTCTGCAGCAGGGCGTAGCTCGGTGGTAGATCCCTTGCCAAGTGAGGCCCTAGGTTGGATCATCACTAGCACCCAAAAAATAAAAGCTAACGGTGAAGTCACAGAATTCCCTGCGCTCTCTCCAGAGCAGCTTCCTGGTGCGTGGCATGTTGTTAAATACGAAATTAAATAGCGTATTGCTGAGAACTCTTGCCAGCGTTAACGCCAGCCGGTGTGCCAGTGAGTGAGGCCACTCACTGAGCGCGAGGGGACCCTGCAGTAGGGGTGGCCGAGCAGTGCCTTCGGGAGGGCATGGGTGACAAAATCCCTCGTCTTTCACACCATGACTACACAACTCTGACACTGGCCTGACCCTCCACGTCTCCTGAGGGCAAGCAGTGACGTGTCTGAGCCTTCCCACTGCACCTGTGTCAGCGTGCATCTGAATGAAAGGACTGCGGAGCCCCACGTCCCGGGTCATGGGTGGCGCAACAGTCCTAGGCCTAGGACTCCAGCCGGCCACACACGGGTGGTCCCCGTGGGAGGGTCAGGAGAAGCCCAGCGCAGCCCAGGACCCCGGAGCGCCAGCGCTGGCGGCTGGGCAGCATCAGGACGCAGGGTCCAGAAAACCCCAAGTCCACATCTCACACCAAGGCAACCCTCAGCCACTCGGACACTTAGAGAACCGGCAGAGGCATCCCTCACTCAGGAAGACGCGTCTCTAAGGTGGCTTTTTCTGTGTCCGCATCCTGGCAGCAGGCCCACCCCGCGGGAGGGACACCTTCCGGTGGGTACGAAGGAGAGAACTAGTCCTCTGGTTTTTCACGGACTGCACAGCTCCACATTTCCTATTCAAGCACAAAGGGAAACCTTAATAATGTAGGCTTCGTGTCTAAAACAGCCGAGATACCGTAAGATCTCCAATTAAACCTAATGTGCTAAAACGCGTGAGGAAGAGTGTAAAATAATGTAAAATACTTTTCTAAATGCATCTCTGAGTTGACTTAAAACCAAGGAATTTGCTGGATGGGACAGGGATTCACCATTGGTAGCTTTCCAACCTACGTCACCGCTATCAACCTTATGTCTTCATTTTTTGTTTTTGATACAAATAAAACTTTTCTTTGTAAATAAAAAGAAATAGAAAGCAAGGAATAAGAAGAAATAGAAGTAGGGAAACTGAAGCAAGCCAGCGCCAACGCTGGACTCCTCCGTCTCCCGCGGTCCTGGGGCGAGGCGACCCCACGGCGACGGTCCCACCGCAGCCGCGCCTCCAGCTCCGGACCAGGGCCGCAGGCTCCAGGGACGCTCCCAGAGGGGCTGTTTCCGCCCTTGCTCACGCCCTCACTTGCCAAGGAAAGCCGGCACTGGGTCCCGGGCTGGAGGGACATGGTGCCGGCGGGAGTTACAGAGGGAGGGGGACAGGCCTCGCGGCGCCCGGCCGCCCCAGGCTGACGGGAAGAGCCCGTGTTTAAGGAGGCGGGAGCCTGGGTTGAGCCGCGAAAGGGCGCGTTAGACATTCGAACCATTCGAACTTTAAAGAAACAATATGAAAACCCAACAAACAGAAGAGGGGAAAAGAGTAAGAAAATTAAGGCAAAAAGTGGGGAAAAGACAAAAAAGGCCGCGATTGATGATGAAGCCCTAGAAGTAAACCCACTTCTAGGTGTTTGTAATCGCTAGCTCTACGGAACTGTCACCCAGGGAAAGGCCACGTCCTTCGGCTGTACCTTTAGGTATGTCTCCTGCACGCTTCAAGGATAAAGGCAGAGCGAGATCTGAGCTAACCAGACAAAGACGAACAGAAATGCTGCGATGTAAGGAACAAAAGCGGCGAGGGCAACAGATGGTCATATTCCATCATGAGAGGAGGCTCATTCCTCAGAGAAGACGGGGAAGTTCCAGGCTAACACGCAGCCAGGAACAGAGCCAAAGAGGAAGGACGCAAGCACTGCCACCCCCGCCCGTTCTGAGACGTCATTCTGAGACCCGAGGCCGTGGGGAAACGGAGAAGGGGG